TTATTGCCATTATTATCCTCCAAATCCTCCATTCATCCATTTGGAAGGTCCTTTGAGATAGTTCCAAGATGTCTTGGTTAACTTATTAGAACTAAAGAGGCCAGCTATCAAATTTTCCTGTTAAATAATATACACTCTTCTTCAGAGAAGCTCAGACACTACCTGGTTCATTCCCCTCTTGACATTTATTTCCAAAAAACATACACACATAACAGGGAATTCTGTCTTAGAGAATGCCTCCTTTGTGTGATATAAGAAAGAATATGTAGACCTTTACTTAACTTAAACTATTACAGAACTTTAGAAATTTAAATAGAAGCCTGTAAAATCCTAGAGTTACTTCTAACAATCCATCTCAAAATTGAAGATTTGTTTAAAAACATAAACTTTTTTAAAAAATATTTTTAAAATTGTCAATGGACCTTTATTTTATTAATTTATTTATACATGGTGCTAAGAATCAAACCCAGTGCCTCACACATGCTAGGTAAGCACTCTGCCACTGAGCTACCATCCCAGTCCCTAAAAACATAAACTTTTAAGAAAAATATTTTAAAAGATGACTTACTTGGTGCATACCACATGGGTAATAACATCTCTATGCATGTAACTGCGCTCATACATGGATGCACTGGGGAGATTATCAAGATACACTCTTTCAAACTCTAGAACTGGAAAAAACAAAGTAAAAAAGTGACTTAACAAAAGTAAACTAAACATTATTTTCTTTTTATTTAGAATTTTCTAAATTCTATTTTATACCTAATTCTATGTTTTAATTTCTCTCAATTCACATGTAAGAATAAAACAATCCAAAGTCTGTTATGTCATTTATGACTTTTATTATTTTGGAGCACTGGCATAGCACCATTATTTTAACATTTATTTGGTTAATCATAACCGACTCCCAGGGATTATACAGATGCTTAACTGTTCCAAAGATTAGAAAACTTAAACAACTTAAAATGCTTCTCAAAAWTATCACAACCATCTTTGTAACTATGTAGATCCCAGTTATAGATGTTAATTTAAATAAGAGACCAATGGCTATCTGTAAGATGTCTCAGTTCATTTTTAAGGCACATATTCTCTTTGAAGTCATTAATACTGAATTTGAAACATGTAAAAACAATAAAATGCTTAGATTTTTAGAACTGAGAAAATCCCAGGAAATGTCCACTTGAGTGTTTCTCAGATTTTTGCCAGGGGCAAAGCACTCATAACAGTGGTAAACTGAGTCATGGCAAGAAATCTTTATTATGAGCTACAAACAATTTTGCTAGTTCCCGCCCAAATTGACATAATATGTATGCCAAATAAAATAATCCAATGATGGCCAAACATGCCTATATAAAGTTGCTAAATTGAATATATGTTAGTTTTTCATTCCTGTTATATATAAAGTTGTCTAACTAACTACTTTCCCCTTCAKTTTTAGTAACAGATTCCATATTTTTAGATGGGCCTCCTGATATCTAGCTACAAAGATGATTGATATTATTGCTACAGCAATATAGCAATATATCATTGCTATTACTGTCCTCCAAATCCTCCATTTGTCCATTTGGATGGTCCTTTGATAGTTCCAAGATGTCTTAGTTAACTTATTAGAGCTAAAGAGGCCAGCTATCAAATTTTCCTATATTAAATAATATACCCTCTTTCTTACCTTCCCTTGGAGTGACAGGTAACCATATGCTAATGAGATAAAATGGGAGTGGTTTTGGAGTGACAGGTGGCTCTATGCTAATGAGATAAAATGGGAGTATTTTGTGATAGTCAGGAAGTCTTGAAGTGTGCCCTTCTTCCCTTCCTCAGTTCTACAATATAGAACCAGGATATTACTGCTGTAATTCAGGACAGTGTAACTCAGGACAGTGAAGATGAGGCCAGAGATAGCCTAATTATTTTAGGGCAGAAAGCTAGAAAAGAGTCTAGCAGTCTTTGGAGCTTCCATAGCAATTCTGGACTACTAACCTTGGGACTTATACACATAAAAGAAGTACACCTCATTGTTACATCATTGTTATTTGGCATAGAATTTAATCGTATCTGATTCATATTTTGATGTTGTTTGTACCCTTTGGAAGAAACATTTATTGAGAACAAAATAGGTTCCTGAATATGGACTTGAAGAGTTAAGACACAGTTCCTGTCCTTAAGAAAGTTTAATTAAAGGTAGTGTTATGTAATCATATTTCATGTTTTTTTCAAAAGTGTATATATACAAGTCCAATGTCTGAGGAACATTTTAAAGGAGATGGCTTCAATTATAGACAGCAAATATTAAACACTTGTTCTTTTAGATAAAATTTTCAACAATACTTTTCTAACATTTCTAACATGCTTTTTAGTTTAAATTTTTTATTCAAATTGAATGCAGTATTGCTAGCTTAAAAACAACATGCAGGGCTGGGTTTGTGGCTCAGTGGTAGAGGTTTGCCTAGCATGTGTGAGGCACTGGGTTCGATTCTCAGCACTACATATAAATAAATAAAGTCCATTGGCAACTAAAAAAATATTTAATAAAAAACAATATGCATCTGATTAAGGGTAAAGATTTTCACACCTAATAATTTCCATCTCTGTTTCGAATATTAAGTTTGTAAGATATTTATCTCCTAACAGTAATACCAGCATTTCAGCCAGGTGTATCAGCACACACCTGTAATCCCAGGGGCTTGGGAAGCTGAGGCAGGAGGATCATGAATTCAAAGCCAGCCTCAACAACTTAGCAAGGCCATAAACAACTCAGTGAGACCCTGTCTCAAAATTAAAAAAAAMAAAAACAAAATTTAAAAAAGGGGTTTGGGGATGTGACTCAATGGTTAAGTTCCCCTGAGTTCAATCCATTGTACAAAACAAAGCAAAACATCAACAAACAAACAAACAAAAAATTTCCAGCATTTCAATATTTTTGGATTTTTCCATTTATCCCCATTCCTTTCCTCAAAAAAGAACATGCAAAAAACATTAAAATGAAGTAAAATTAATTATACAGCATAGCATTACAATATTCATTTACTAAATATATTTGTGGAACACATATGCAAAGCACTGTACCAAGCACAGGAGTAAAACAGGTATGGTCCTTATTCTTTTTTTTTTTTTTTTTTTTTTTCTTTTTTGGTACCAGGGATTGAACCCAGGGGTGCTTAACCACTGAGCCACAACCCCAGCCCTTTTTATTTTTCATTTAGAGATAGGGTCTCCTATGTTGCTTAGGGCCTTGCTAAATTGCTGAGGCTGACTTTGACTTGTGATCTTCCTACCTCAGCCTCCCTAGCCACTGAGTCACTGCGCCTAGCTTGATCCTTGTTCTTCACATGTTTAGTTTTAGCAGTGGAGAGAAACATTAGTCAGAAAGTTACATGAACAAATATATAATTACAAATTGTAGCAAGAAACAGTGAAGGAAGTGGTTGCTATAGTAATATTTACCAGAGGACCAGGCATTAAAAAAAGAATGCACTTTGTTTCAAAAAAGTGGCTGCTTCGGAATTTCAATGTGTTAAATTTGAAGACTACCTGTAAACTCAGTTCCATAAACATTACCTCCAAGTTATGATCAATGTGCTTTAGAAACCTTTAAGACTGGAAAAGTCACAGGCTTCCCAGGAGGTAATATCCAAATGCTAAACATGAAACATAATTTTGCCCAGTAAAAGAAGTGAAAGAAATTATTTCAGGTAAAGACCCTAATGATAATCTAGACCAGCATCCAGAACAGATATAGAATAGTGTCCCATTCTCTAGTGTGCACAAAGTAAGAGATTGTGAGAGCAAAGTAATGGGAGATGTAGGCGCAGGAGAGAGAGATCATATCATAAAGGGCCTTATGTGTCATGTTAGGGAGTTTGGATTTTGTTTTGAAAATAAAATTCCTGAAAAGTTTTAAGTAGTGTAGAGTGAAAAAAATAAGATTTGACCTTAGACCACATTTCCATTGTATTAAACGTTTAAGGAAACATTTCACAGAAAAACTTGAAGAGCAAGAAAATTTAATCTATCCCTTTCTCCACTACTTCATTTGATTTWAAAAAAATTGTTATTATTCTGTGTTACTGTCAAAATACTCCAGTCTATGTCATTTCAAGAGTATGGTTTGAAAACCACAGACCTCACATTTTAGATGAAAAAATACTGTGATCCAGAAAGCTTAAGTAAGTTTCCCTAGGTTTGAAAATTCATTGATAGAAAACTTAAGGTTGAAATTCTCTTTCCTTACTCTTTATTACTCTAAACAGGTACCGCTTTCTTCCCTGACCCCCAGCCCCCTACTAACAAGACCTAACTAAAGCCTTCAGGAGAACCAGTACTCTCACACATTTGCTATTCAGAATTAGAATTCTGACCTTATATAGCTGCTATGGGGATTAAATGAGAGGTGCCAAGTRTATAACAAGTTCAGGCAAATGTTAGCTTTATCATCTATCATAAAAAATATCATAGATCAAATAGTATCCTAAATTATCAAAAAGGGAATACTAAGCCCATATCAGTGTTCTAGGAGGATGTTCAAGTACCGAGTGGCCAGAAATGAGATGTTCTGCTGGTACAATACCCCACAATCACACTCCATCCCTCTTAGAATCTTGGTGGAACTCAACCCTCCCACTCAGCAGAGGCAGCATTCCAATTCTCCCTCGGTCTGACTCTGCAGCTACCTTTCCGCTTTTTAGCCAATGTTGCTTCCACAGGTAATGGCCCAACCCAGCGCTCTTCATTCTCCTCATCGTTTTCTTGGGCCACCGTCACTGCCACTGCCAACTCTCTCGTGCTCAAGTCCGTTTTTTCAGGCTCTTCTAGGTCCCGGCGCCTTCTTCTTCTAAGTTGCGAATCGCTCCCACTTTCAGCCGCCATGTTGTCCGAAACGTCAGAAAAAGTGCGACACACAATTCCGGCGCCAATTCCAAAGTCTCGGCGCAACCCTCTCGTCAGCGTCCGAGCGAGTTTCGGGATTGGCTGAGGTGGTTAAGAGCAGATCCAATCAGCCAGCAGCGCGCGCATAGAACTCCGCTCCGTAGCTGACGCTAAGCAAAGCTGAGAACCGGAGCCTATAGCAATGTGAAGGTAAGAAGTGGGAAAAGATCATGTCCTAACCACTTAAGTTTGTCTCGKGGCTGGCAGCTCACTGGATTTGGAGCTCCAGCGCAGAAGGCGAGTTCTTTACCGCCCCGGAACTGGAGACCCGTCGTCCAGCTGGGCCTTCAGTCAGCGGTTCTTCGCCAGTGGCGTCAACGCCTGCGCCACCACCCCGCGGGTTAGCAGAAAAAGACGGAGGGGCGGGGTTGCCAGGAACTGATGAACTTTCACTTCTTCTCACACTCAATGTGTTTTCTCACACTCAGTGAAGAAGTTGGCGAGTACTAGTAGTTGCTTCCGGGACGGAATGGGTGGGTGGAGGAGAGAACTTGCTACCTCAGTTAACCCTGAGTGGCCCAAGAATGGAGCTGTCACCTGCTTTCTGCCCTGACATGGACATTGATCTCTTAGCGGTCTTTTGAACTTCAGACTTGCTGGCCTTCTCTTTCTCTTTCTGCTTGTGCTGGGGATTAAACCCAGGGCTGCCCTGTTTATTTATTTAGTTTTTTAAAAATCGCACAATTTAAAATCTACTCTCTTAATCTCTTTGTTTATCCATTAAATACAATCTGTCAGAACGACTTCCCCTTTTCTTCAAAAATGACAGGAATTTTCACACATATTTCCAAAGTCTTGTGTTTGCCTATTTCAAATCAGATGAATGTCTTTTTTTACTTTTTCTTTCAGGTAGAAACCAAAGGTAGATTTCTTTAGGGAAGGAACTGCCCATGGTAAGCAGTGTTGAAAAGCTTCTTTTAATTTCAAGGACTCCCATTATTTGACCCATCCTACCTCGAAAGATCATTTATTCTGTTTTCTCCTGTAGTCAGATAACTTTCATTTATGTCTCAAAAATTTGCCTTGCCCATTTTTGCCCCCATCTTATGTTTTTGAACTTTGAAAGCCTCTCCACAGCAATCTGGCCTTTACCTTTCCAGCTTCTCATCTTTCAGAGCCCATTGCAATAATAATGAGGGTGAAGATTGTAATGATAATGGTAGAGAGCTGGTTAACATTTATTAGGTGGTTTTATGTACTAATTTATTTATTCTTCCAGGTAGGTCTATCTAACCTTCACTATCCTGAATTCTGAAAGCATTTGCAGCCTGTGTTGTGTAATTTGCCACTTCATGGCACTTCTTTTGGGTGCTGGGGATTGAACTCAGGGCCTCATGCATGCTAGGCAAGCACTTTACCACTGAGCTACATCCCCATCCCCACTTCATGGCATTTCTAACTACCTGGAGTTATATCTTGTATTTAATCATTTTTTATGAGAATATAAGGTCCACAAAGAGATTTTTCTCACCTACACAGCTATGGTTACAGTGTCTAACCAATGGTACACATTAAGAGCATTTTGTTAAATAAATGAATACATCTTTGAATTATATGAGCACTTACATTTATTTCATATATATTAATCTTTTCCCCATTAGTGGTACAAAATTTAAGTTGGTATGACATAACATTATTCCTAAACACAGTGATGTTTTTCAATAAATTAGGTGTTTTAATCCTAACTGCGGATCTCTTGTTCTATTCTGAGATAGGGTGAGGGATACAAAATGTGTAAAAAGGATAAAGTTAAACCCTTAATGTGTTTGTGTGTGTGTATTTTTAAAAATAGACAACAAATTCATTTCTCACAATTCTGAAGGCTGGAGGTCTGAAATCAGCATCAGTGTGCCAGTGTTTTCTGGTTTGGGTGAGGGCGGTCTTCCAGGTTGCATCCAGCTGACTTTTCCTTGTATCCTTCCAATGCAGAAAGAGCAAACTCATGAATAAATGTTTTTATTTATTTGTATTCTAATACTATGTTTAATTTCTAAGCCCTCTAATTTGTTGAATATCTACCCACTTACATACACACACATGTACACAAACCGTTTTGCATTACTTTTGCATACTCATAATGTGTTTTAATTATCAGTATTCCACAAAGTGTGGATAAATCAATTTGCACTTAATTTCTGAGTTAAGGTATATTTTAGAGAAATATTTATATAATATTTGACTTTTTTATTAAATATTTTAAATTGTTAATGACTGGTTTTTTGAGCTTACGTTGTATGTTTAATAGAGTGGGTAGGGTATTTAGTGTAAACATTTTTGGATATACAAGTTATTTAAATGATTTCTACGATCTTCTAATACTGATATAGCTCTGTATGCTAGCTACATATCTAAGAGCTTTATATACATTTAGTTATTTAATTGTTCATAATAACCCTATGGGGTATGTAATATTTATTATCTTAATTTTACAGATAAGAAACTGAGGCATAGAAAGGTTAAGTGACTTGTAAAAGGTCCCACAGCTTGTAAGTATCAAAACTGGGATTTAAACTTAGAGTCTGTTTGTAGAATTTATCTTTATAGTGTTTTCTTTTGTTTTTTAAACAAATAATGTTGTAGGCATGCTTGTGTAGACTTATACAAACATAACTATCTATAGGATTATTCCTAAGAACAGAATTTCTGGGTCAAAAGATAAATTCATACCAACACACTGTAGGGCCTGCTGCTTTTCCTTTTGGCTGTCATCTAGGAAGGTTGTGTCATTCCTCATTCCTTGAATGTTATTAGCTCCTGGCTTACTGTCATCCTTTGCTGTATACTATCATATTTCTTGTGACTTGAATATCCTTATAGATGATCCTTTCAACAACTTGACTCTCTTTCTTGACCTCCTCTCCTCTAGTGATTATAATCTCCAGCTTAGTTACTCACTCTCATGGCCATTTTTTGAATTGTCTCTGTCTGTACCTGTGTTGCCTTACTGTGAAGGAAAACACACAGCCCAGTGGCCTTTAACACTTAGCCAGTAATTCTACTATCTTATCCTCCCACATTCTCTCATATCTATTTTATACATTTCTTTTCCTCTCCTTATATCTGTAATCCTTTCTCCCCATTCTTATTCACTGCTAGTAACCTTAGTTATGATTTTACTAAGAAGCAATTCAGACAGAGCTTCCATAAACTCCTACCAGCATATCTGCTCACCTACCTGCATCTATGCTCTTGATACTCTGCTGACTCTCCCATTAAAATAAATAAATTTTGAGCCAGGTGTGTTGCCACACACCTGTAATCCCAGTGACTCAGGAAGCTAAGGCAGGAGGATTGCATGTCAGAGGCTAGCCTCAGCAACGTGGCAAGGCCTTGAGCATATCGGCAAGGCACTGTCTCAAATTTTAAAAAAGGTTTGAAGTTATAGCTTAGTGATAAAGTGCCCCTGGGCTCAATTCCTAGTACTGCCTTCCCCTCAAAAAAGAGTATCATGTACTTTTATCTTTTTTTTTTAATATTTGTTTTAGTTGTAGGTGGACACAATCACCTTTATTTAATTTTTATGTGGTGCCAAGGATCAAACCTAGTGCCTCACGCATGCTAGGCAAGTGCTCTACTGCTAAGCCACAACCCCAGCCCCTTGTACTTTTATCTTAAGCTGACTTTTCCTATTCTTTTTCCTGCCTTGCTTTTCTCCATAACACTTAAAATAATTTCATATTCTATACTGTATATTTTTTAATTTATTGTCTGCTTTCCTTAATAGAATTAAGCTCCATGTGGGAGGGACTTTTTTTTTTTTTAGTTCATAGTAACTTTGTTCCCCACCAGTTTAAATGGTATTTTTTTTTTGTCTTTTTAAAATTTCTAATTGACATAATAACTGTTTATGTTTATAGGGTATGATGTGATATTTCAATACATGTATTGGGRGTGTAGCTCAGTGGCAGAGTCCTTAGCAGTATGAGACCATGAGTTTAACCCTAGCAACCCACTCCCACAAACAAAACTCTTAACTTTAGTACCTGTATACAGTGTACGTATATAATATTAGTGCCCTAATTTTAATTGGCATATTCATCACCTCACACATTTATCATATCTTTGTGTTGGAATGTTCATAATTCTTCTAGCTATTTTGAAATATACAATTAATTGTTGTCTGTATACTTATTGTGCTCTGTGCTATAGAACATTAAAAAATATTCCTCTTATGCAACTGCACCCATGTGCCCATTAAACATCCTCTCTCTATCCCCTTCTTACCCTCCTAAACCGTGAAAATCACTATTCTGCTCTACTTCTAGGAAATCAACATTTTTAATTTCCACATGTAAGCAAGACCATGTGATATTTATCTTTCTTTATGTGATTTATTTCATATAACATAGTGTCCTTATTCCTGCTTCCATAAATGAGAGAATTTTATTCTTTTTTATTTTATTTTTGTTTTTTGCAGTACTGAGGATTGAATCCAAGGATCATTCTTTTTTTATATATGAATAATATACTGTTGTGAATATGCACTACATTTTCTTCTTCCATTTATCTGTTGGTGGACACCTAGGTTGACTCCATTATCTTCACTACTGTGACTAATGCTGTAGATATCTACTTAAAATACTGATTTTCTATCCTTTGAATATATATTCACTAGTGGAATTGCTGTTCTAGTTCTAGTTTTTTGAGTATTGTTCATACTGTTTTTTATAATGGTTGTACTAATTTATATTCCCTCCAACAGTATTGTATTAGTGTTTCCCTCTTAGTAGGAAGTGTTTTGTCTGTTCAAGTCTATGCTAAATTTTTAGCACTAGATGAGTATTTGTCAGGTAACAAATATTCAACAAATATTTGTTATATGAATAAATATATTTTACTTTAGTTTTTCTTATAAGGCTAAGAAAAATCACAATCTACATGTCTGTGAATCAGCAAGATCTAGATCCCGATAGTACTACAGATGTGGAAGTTGTTACAGATACTGAAGAAGAACTTATTAAAGAATGTGAAGAAATATGGAAAGACATGGAAGAAGTAAGTTTCAAGAGATAAAGGTGATATATATGTTAATATAAGAGTTAAGTTAATTTCAATAACAATTAGACTTTGGAAAGATAGAATTTTGCTAGTTTCTCAGAACTGTTATATATGGTAATATTTATATAGTTTTTAGACCTATAAGCATTCAATCAAGAAACTTTATGATAGATAAGCTATAGAAAGAGAAAAATTATGACAACTCCTAATCTTAGTTTTATTATCTTGGAATAGCTATACATAATATTGAAGTACAAAACTAAGAAGGAATACTCAGCCTAGGCTGAAGGAGTCATGGATAACTTTTTATAAGAAGTAATCACTAATTTCATTTCTAAAGGATAGGTAAGACTTGGCCAGTGAAAGTAGGACAGGCATAGAATGTAGAAAGATAAAAATGTATAAAATTTGAAGAGTTAAGAGAACTATAAGGAGTTTATAATGAATAATGCAAATTAGAACAAAGAAAGATTTGTGGACTTTGAGACTGGAAAGTTAACTGGGAACAAGAACATGAAGAATTTTGTTGAGTGTGTACTATGGGAAGTCAGGATTATAAACACTGAAGTGACATGATCAGATATGCAGAGTAAGAAAATTATTATGAGGGCTGGGCGTGATGGGTCATGTCTGTAATCCCAGTGGCTTGGGAGGCTGAGGAAGGAGGATCCTGAGTTCAAAACCAGCCTTGGCAAAAAGTAAGGCTCTAAGCAACTCACTGAGACCCTGTCTCTAAATAAAAAATACAAAATAGGGCTGGGGACTTGATTAAATGGTTGAGTGCCCCTGAGTTAAATCCCCCCTACCAAAAAAAAAAAAAAGAGAGCATTTAGGAGGCTTTAGTCCTATTCAAAAGTGAAGACCTAAATAGTGTTACTACAAATAGAATAGGTTCAAGAAATATTAAGGAGGTTAATCACTGTGAAATTGGAGAGAATTATCTTGGATGGTTTCAGATTCATGGTTTGGGCCTTTGGCTGGTTGGTGGGGTTATTCCTTAAAACACAGAGTATAGAAATGGGAAGAACACATAATTATGAGTGAAAGTGTGAATTCATTTAGAAATTGTTGAGTTTGAAGCATCTATACATTTTCTGTTTTAGTGAGGGAATTTCTTTTGGTACACTACAGTATCTTGGTAAAAATACTGTTCTACTTAAAATAATATAATGTATGTTAGAGGCCACAGAATTTTAGCATCCTTTTCCTAGTAAAGGTTCAGAGTAGGGTGAATTAGTAGTAGTATTAGTAGTAGTCAATCTGTCTGTCTGTCTGTCTCTCTCTCTTTTTTTTTTTTTTTTTTTTTTGGTACCAGGGATTGAACCCAAGAGCTCTGAGCCGCTGAGCCTCATCCCTAGATCTTTTTTATATTTTATTTAGAGAGAGGGTCTTGCTAAGTTGCTTAGGGCCTCATTAATTTGCTGAGGCCAGTTTTGACCTAGTGATTATCCTGCCTCAGCCTCCCATTATAGGCATGTGCTACTCTGCCTGGCTCTGTGGGGTCTCTCTATTTATTTCTTTTTTAAAAAGTAATTTTTAAACATAAATACTTGGAACTCTTATATTATTAATGTATCTACTACATAATTTGTATAAAAAATTTTTTAAAATTTTTTTCAGTGTATAAATTTAGACTTAAAAATAACTGTAGGCAAGGCCTGGTGGTGCAGGCTTGTAATTCCAGCTACTCAGGAGGCTGAGGCAGAAGGATTCTAAGTTTGAGGCCAACCTCAGCTATTTAGTGAGACTCTGTCTCAAAATAAATAAATAAAAAAGAATAAGGATATAGCTCAGTGGTAAAGTGCCCCTGGGTTCTATTCCCAGTACAAACAAAACAAAACAAAATAAAAATACTTTTTATAGAAAATATTGCAACTAGAAATAAGCAAAAATAAAATTTTAAATTTAAATTACTGATTTTTAATTCTCAGATTTATTATTATTAATAGTTTTGGATTTTTAAAAATATTTTTTGTAGTTGTACAAAATAACTTTATTTTATTTATTTATTTATTTTTATGTGGTGCTGAGGATCAAACCCAGGGCCTTGCCCATGTGAGGCGAGCACTTTACTGCTGAGCCATAACCCTAGCCCCTGGTTTTTTTTTTTTTTTTTTTTTTTTTTTTTTTTTTTATGGCACAAGAACAGTGTCTCCTGAAGGCTTTGTTTTATGATCTTACCTAACTTCTTACCTACTTTGTTATTTTCTACTGTATTTTCTCTTATTCTTCCCACCTCCCCACCTTTTCCACTTTGTAGTTTATAAGTCACCACAGCTATTGGTTTCTGTTCTTTTTCTTTTGTCTGGTATTCCCTTTTCCTTTTGATATATTTACTTTGGAACCTATTTTGCTGCCTCCTTCATTGTTTTGCCTAAAAAGTGAGGAATTAAAACTCTGATGTTAGATATCTGTATGTTGTTTTAAAGGAGTATTATGTTGGACTGATTAAAAAAGGGGAGGAGAAGGAAACTATCTATGGATTATATTATCTGACTTGTTTCTCTTTTTAAATCAAGTGTCAGAATAAATTATCACTTACTGGAACTGAGACACTCACTAATTCAAATGCTCAGGTATGAACTTTTTTTTTCCCTTGAAAATAGGTAAGTACAATTCATTGTATTTTGGAAAAGTATATTTGTTTATATTTACTTCAAAAATAATTACTTATTAATACCTGTATTCTTAATCATTTAGAAAACTCTTTGTTCTTCCTGATTTAAGAGTTGGAAGTAAATAAAATAGCAAGACTCCATCAAAAATTAAAAAAAAAAAAGGAGCCAGGTGCTGTGGCACACACCTGTTATCCTAGTGACATGGAAGAAGACTACAAGTTTTCGATCAGCCTTGGAAGTTTAGAGAGACCCTGTCTTAAAATGAAAAAGGCTGAGGATGTAGCTTAACTCAGTGGTAAAACACTCCTGGATCTGATCATACACACACACACAAAACAAACAAACAAACAAACAAAAAAAACAAACAAACATTGAATCGAGCTATTATAAATAAGAAAGCATTTTCTTTATTATTTGTCTTTTAAATACATTCATTTAGCAGTTGAGCAAATTGCTTGTTCATTGCTATTGTGATACCCTGTTAAAAATTAAAACAATAAAAAAAAATAGAACAAAGACAGTCCTACTCCGTGTTAGGTAAAATATCTATATGTAACCTTTATTGATTTTACTGTAGACTTTAGAAGATGATTTAGATCTGTTGAAATAATCAAAGAATTGTGGAATTGGTTTAGAATAGGTCAGTGGATCAGGTAAGGAATTTAAAATGTGACAAAAAYATGGTTGTTCAAATCTGTCATAAAAGAATGAATTAGTTAATGAGTTATAGTGATACAACTAGATATCCATGTGGACGAAAATAAAATGGGACCTCAGTTTTCCCTTTTATACCATATAAACTCCTGATGGATTAGCAAAAAAAAAAAAAAAATCTGTAAAAAAAAACTAGGAGAATATTTTTGCTAACCAGGAATAGGGGAAAACTTCTTGGCTAATAATATAAGTCTGGTTTTTATAAAAGAAAAAATAGATGTATTTTACCATGTAAGAAATTAAAAACATTTTAATGATAAAATTCTAAGGATAGAATCAAATGTACAGATGATTAAAATGAAAGTTCCCCCAAACTGGTAGAGAAATGTCAAAACACAAAAGAATTCATTTGAGGGTGCTCCTGCTATCCAAATTTGATATTATCATGAATAATAACTTTAATTGAATATAATAATATAAAAATAAAAGTCCATGATTATAATGATACTTAATTAAAAATAAAAACAAAATAAAGGGAAAAATTAATGTGTCACTTTTGAAAGTACTTGTTAGATTCTTAATGTCAGAATTAGTGATAAACAACTGGGTTCCTTTTTGTGTTCATGAAACTTTTTGAGTCTTGGCCTGGAGTAGTGGCTCTGTGACGGAGCACTCGCTTAGCAAGTGTGAGGCACTGGGTTTGATCTTCAGCACCACATAAAAATAAATAAAGTTATTATGTCCATCTACAACTTAAATTTTTTTTAACTATAAGTATACAGCTGTGTTGCATAGGATAAATAAACTGAATATTGCATTTGAAAAAGCAATAAGGAAATACATAATACATAATAAGGAAACCATCATCTTCCTTTGAAAATGTGGTTCCTACGTTGTAGAAAAAAATGAGATCCACTAAATCAGAATCATTAGAGATTGGACCTACAAGCTTCTAAATGATTTTCATGCAGTGAGCCAAACACTGGGTCTGAGGGGGGTACTTGTGTAGCTGTAAATGTGTAGTGTTGGAATATACGATATGTGTTTTCCTGTTGTGTTGAGCACCCCCAAGCCCACTCATAAGCTTGATGATTTTCTAGGAGGATTCACAAGAGGCACGCAGTATATAGTGAACTTGTTCTATTACAGTGAAAGGATACAGAGTAAAATCAACAATGGGAAAAGGTACATGAGGTGAGATCCACAGGAAACCAGGCACAATTCAGGAGTCCTTTCCTTGTAGAGTCACACAGGACCTGTTCAATTTTTCCGTCTAATTGTGACAATATGTCTGAGGACCTCATTAGAAACTCTTCCCAAAGTTTTCAGTGGAAGCTGGTCACATAGGCATATCCTATCTGGCAGGTAACAACAAAAAAAAACAGACTAACAGAAGGAAAGCAGGTGTTCAGCATAAACCACATTGTTTTTTCTTTTTTTTTTTTTTAAATTTATATATGACAGCGGAATACATTACAATTCTTATTACATATATAGAGCACACTTTTCAGATCTCTGGTTGTCTATATAGTATATTCACACCAATTTGTGTCTTCATACCTGTACTTTGGATAATAATGATCATCACATTCCACTATTATTAATTACCCCATGCCCTCACCCTTCCCCTCCCACCCCTCTGCCCTATCTAGAGTTTATCTATTTCTCCCGTGCTCCCTCTCCCTATCCCACTATGAATCAGCCTCCTTATAGCAAAGAAAACATTCGGCATTTGGTTTTTTGGAATTGGCTAACCTCACTTAGCATTATCTTCTCTAACTCCATCCATTTACCTGCAAATGCCATGATTTTAATCTGTTTTATTGCTGAGTAATATTCCATTGTGTATATATGCCACATTTTTTTTTATATCCATTCATCTATTGAAGGGTATCTAGGCTGGTTCCACAGTTTAGCTATTGTGAATTATGCTGCTATAAACATTGATCCTGGCTGTGTCCCTGTAGTATGCTGTTTTTAAGTCCTTTGGGTATAGACTGAGGAGAGGAATCGCTGGGTCAAATGGTGGTATCATTCCCAATTTTCCAAGAAATCTCCATACTGCTTTTCATATTGGCCTCACCAATTTGCAGTCCAACCAGCAGTCTATGAGTGTACCTTGTTCCCCACGTCCTCGATAACACTTATTGTTGTTTGTATGCATAATAGCTGCCATTCTGACTGGAGCGAGATGAAATCTTAGAGTGGTTTTGATTTGCATTTCTCTAATTGCTAGTGATGATGAACATTTTTTCATGTATTTGTTGATTGATTGTACATCAAGGACTTAGGAATACAATCAGAGACCCTGCCCTAATTTCCTTAATAAGACTCCTGTGGCACAAGAATTAAAATCAAGAATCAATAAATGGATTGACTCAAACTAAAAAATTTCTTCTCAGCAAAAGAAACAAATCTGTGAGGTGAATAGAGAGCCTACATCTTGGGAGCAAATCTTTACCCCTCACCCATCAGATAGAACACTAATCACTAGAGTATATAAAGAACTCAAAAAGCTAAACACCAAAAAACAAATAACCCAATGAATAAATGGGCCAAGGACCTGAAGAGACACTTCTCATAAACCACATTCTTTAGATAAACAGATTAAGTATGTTAAGCCTCTCAGGAATGTTTTGGGTGGTAGGAACTATTTTCTTGAAACCTAACCAAGTTCTCATTGCCAGCCAAAGGACAATGTTATAAGGAGATCTTTCTAAAAATAGTTTTAATCCTGCTTTGTTAATTCTTTTCTGCATACCTTTCATCTTCAAAATTTTATTAGAAGCCCATTTTCTAAAGTAGGATGTTATATACTTTAAGAAAATTTTAGTAATTAAATTACTTTAGAAATATTACTATTATTTTTAGAAAAAGTTGTTCAGTTTTATAGCAAGTTGAGAAATAATTTGTATACTTTCCTGCTGGGCTTTGGTACACTAAAACATATGCTTCATCAATATAGTATCATCAATGTGTATGGGTTTAACTATATGAAATTACTGTTTATTATGAGTTAAAAATAAATTTTAATAATTTCACATATTTCAACCTAAGCTGAACAGAAGTGATATGGATTCCTTATCATCATATGATAGTTTTACCTAACTTAATGCTGCTTTTTAAAAGTTTATTATCTCTTACTAGTATTAAACTACATTTATACACTTGATACTTCACAAAATTTTTTTTCACATTCTTAATTGATTATCTATAAGGAAAATATTAAACTCTGCTTTGTTAAAGATTTAAAATATGCTATTTATATCCCTTTAATTGGAGTAAAGGGAGGAAAGGGGCGGGGATAAAGGGGTAGGAAAAATAGCAGAATGAAACAGATATTACCTATGTACATATATGACAGCATAACCAATGTGATTCCACAACATGTAAAATCAGAAAAATGAGAAATTATACCCCATCTATGTATGATATATCAAGGAGCATAAATATATTCTGTCAGGTATAACTAATAAAACAAATTTAAATGTTTTTTTAAAAAACCATTAACACACACACACAAAAGATTTAACATTTTGTTAATGCTTTCTCTCTCTTTTTTTAAACTCCTCTTCTGATGTATTTTGACAGGCAATATTATGATATAGAACAGGGTCTTTGAACTACTGTAGGTTATAAAAGATAGTAGTTGGTACCCTTGTGATGTAAATACTTTAATGAAATCCATTTTATTTTTGAAATGTGAATTTTTAATCTGTCTGGGTACCAATAAGAATTACAAATAGAAGATTAAAAATGCTGTGAAATCTAACTTTAAGCGTACATGGACTTTAAAATATTAAACAACAGATTTTCACATAGATTATCAAAATTGGAATGACGGGGATCACCTACTACCAAAACCACATTAGCCCTGATTTATATTTGGCTAAGAAATACACAGTTTGCAAGCTGCAATCTTGTGGAGTAAAGCTGGTTTTTATGTGTGGCTTGTGGGACCAATCTTATTTTATAATTATTTTGATTTATGTATTTAAATTGTATTTAAATATGTATTTAGCTATTCAGCTAAAAGTAGTTATAGTTTTTCTAAGAAGAGAAAAAAACATTTTTAAGGCAAATTTATCTAAAAATGTTGGCAATAAATAACTTTTTCTTAAATTGTACTAGGGCTGGGAATAGTACCCAGGGTGCCAGGCATAGTATACATGTGCTCTACCACTGATTTACATCCCTACCCCTTTTAATTTTTTATTTTGAGACAGAGTCTCTTTGCTAAGGCACTGAGGTTGCCCATGCTGGCCTTGAACTTGGGATCCTCCTGCCTTACACTTCAAATATCTGGGATTAGAGGTAGACATCAGTGTGCCTGGACCATTTTTTTATTTTAAGTTTTTATTTTTTTTAAGGAAATTATCTTAATGCACTTAGGTTCTTTTAGTTTAAATGGTGAAGCAGAATTTATCATTTTTAATACTATATTGTTCGCATAAGATGCTGTAATTAGCATGGTTTAAAGCAGAATTATGTTTATAGTGTTAAATGTTCATAGTTTAGTTTTACTTTTGTTATCTATTTATGTTAGGAACTAATATTTAAGTATTAAAATGATCTACACTTTTATCTATCAATAGCTATGAATATCTATTAAATCTCTTATTATTTTTTTTTAGCTATCAGTATTGATTATGCAAGTGAAATGTTTAACTGCTGAACTCAGTCAGTGGCACAAAGAAACACCTGAAAGTAAGATTTCAATTTTTAGATTTGTATTTTTGTAGACAAATTAATTTAATGATCACAAGAAGAATTACAAGCTCCATTTGGCTTTCTTGAAATTTCCTGAATTCTCCTGATAACTAGGAAGATGGAAAGAAAGTCAAGAATAGCATTTAAACATATATTCAAAGAATCATTTCAACAAGTACAGTATGTCAGATTCTAAGAATATAAAATTTTTTAAAAACTCTTCCAATGTGGCAGCCTATGGGACTGGTAATTCTGGGTATGAGGCCAACAGAGCCGCCTGTGCATTCAGTAGTACCTGGTTAGGGTGTGTGTGTTAAGGGATAATGATAACAAAAAAAAAGTAAAAATCAAAAATCACCTAATATGCAGCATCAAAAGAAATAGAATAAGAATACTAAACCTAAGAGTCAAAGGACTTGAAAATGTCTTGATTCCTTCATTCTTGAAGGATACTTGCATTGAATATGCAATTCAGAGTTATTGTTTATACTTGAAAACTATGCTCCCTAGTTATTGGAAAGAAATAACTAGATACCTTTGAAAGTTTTCAGTAGCGTATCATTTGAAAAATTTCAAATAACACTTGATTAGGAAAGGTAGACTTTTCTAATGTATGAATTTAACACAAATTTTACAGAATTAATATCCATTGCTATTTCATTAGACTGGCAAAATTTATGAAAGAGTTTATCTTTTGCTGGTTTGTTTTTATTGTTTTGGGTTTTTTTTTTTTTTTTTTTTTTTGCTGGGGGGTGGATTGAAACTAGGGCTGCATACATGATAGGCAAATCTTCTGACACTGAAGTATATCCCCAGCTCTCTTTTGCTGTTTTCAATTCATTACTTGTGGATATGTTTTAAGAAAGGAGTCTGATATTCTCTGCCAAAATTGAAATTCAACATTCTGTGAAATTCCATTTCTGGGAATATGTTCTATAGAAATGAAAGCACCAATACCTAAAAAATATGTCTGCTGTATTGTTGTCATTGTAGCTAAAACTTAAGTGCAAAGTTCATGCTTAGTCAACAGAATCACCCAGTATGTTATGATATATTCTTGCTGTGGAATATTATACAGTCAATAAAAGGATGAATTAGACCTACACCATATGAATGAAAGGGGTTTTCATGGGAGTTTTGTTGAGTGAATTCAAGATGAAGTGAATGTGTGTAATACGATATTATTCTTCTGCGGTTTTTCTTGTTTTGTTTTGTTGCTACTGGGGATTGAACCCAGGGGAATTTTCCCTCTGAGCTGCATCCTCAGCCTTTTTTATTTTTTATTTTGAGACAGGGTCTCTTTAAGTTGCTTAGGGCCTTGCTAAGTTGCTGAGGCTGACCTTAAGCTTGTGGTCCTCTTGCCTCAGCTTCCTGAGTTTCTCGGATTACAGGTGTGTACCACAATGTGTAGCTGATATTATTCTTGTAAAACCAGCAGTGATAAAAAATAATAAACCTTTTAATATATGTGTGCTTAAATATGTGTGTGTGTGTGTGTGTAGGATTATATGCCTACATATAGGAACACACTCTAGATTATTAAACTTGCTTTTGAGGGTTGGGGGAAAAACACTAAAAACAAAATTCCACATTTATCTAAAAGTATATATAACTGGTTATATGTACAAAGAAGGGAAACAAAAATAATTTCACAAAAGCTTCACATATTTCATAAAGCATTCTGTAATATACAGAAGGAATGGGTTATCTTAGAACACCAAAAAACCAATTCTTGAGAATTAACTAAGTATATGTATAATTTTGTTTTGGTTTTGTAGTAACTCCCCTGACAGAGGATGTTCTGATAACATTAGGAACAGAAGAGGTAAGTAATTTATCAATTTGTAGTAAACTTAAATAATTTATAACCAGAATATTTTATATTAGTTCATGACATAAGAAAAATGGTATGAAACTACCCTAAAACCATATTTTTATTTGATTATATTTTATTGAACTAAATAATTTTTAAAATTTGAATTTGAAGTCAATTTTTATATCAGAACTATTGCAAATGTTAGTGATTAATATGTAAACCTTAATTGCATATCTCGTTTTTAGGTGTTTAAACTCGATTAATAAAAATAAAACGTTAAACATAGTTAATTGATTGCACACATACATCTGTTCTTCTACTATGGATTAAAAATTTGTGACATCCCAGTTCATATGTTAAAATCTAATTCCCAATGTAATGGTACTAGGAGGTGAGAACTTTGGGAAGTAATTAGGTCTTGAGGGTTGAGCCCTCATAAATAAGATTAATGCTCTTATGTGTGGCTGAAGGAACCACATTTCTTCTGTTCACCATGTGAGCAAGAAGTCTGTCTTTTGTCAGACACCAGATCTGCTGGCATCTTTTTTTTTTTTTTTTTTTGGTCCAGAGACTGAACCCAGGAGCACTTAACCACTGAGCCACATCCCCAACCCTTTTAAAATTTTTTTTATTTTGAGACAGGGTCTTGCTGAGTTGCTTAGGGCCTTGCTAAATTGCCAAGGCTAGCTTTGAACTCACGGTCCTCCTGCCTCAGCTTTCCAAGCCACTGGAATTACAGGTGTGCACCATGGCACCCAGCTATGGCATCTTAATCTTGTATTTACAGCCTTTAGAACTGTGAGAAATAAATTTCTTTTCTTTCTTTCTTCTTTCTTTCTTTTTTTTTTTAGCTTCCTTATCTATAGTATTTTGTTATAGCAGCCCAAAAGTACTACAGAAAATTGGTACTGAGAAGTGGGGTGGTACTCTAATAAATACCAAAAAATGTGGATTTTGCTTTGAAATTGGGTTAGGGGTAAAGGCTGAAGAATTTTTAAGTGTGTTCTAGAAAAAGCCTACGTCACCATGAGGAAACCTTTATAGATAATTTTGGTGATAATTCAGAAAGAAAAGAGGGAAGCTATAGAGAAAGCCTCAGTTTTCTTATTTCCTGAGTAATCCTAAACAGAATACTGGTGAAAGTATGCACAATATAGACTATTCTGATATTTCCTATGGAAATGAGAAGCATCATTTCTAAGGGTAGAGAGGAGAAACTAGTGGTTTTTGTTTTTTGTTTTTTTTTTCTTTCTCACTATGCAGTACAACACAGCATCACTGGTCACCAAAATATATGGAGATTTCTCCATACCAGAAACCAATTTTCTGGCAGATTTTGCAGCACATGGGAAGGTACATGAAACTTCCATGCCCTCTTTATGCCTCCCTCCTTGAACCTTCATGTTTCATGTACTCAGTCATTCAGAAGCTCCTGAACCCATCACAAGCAGCAATTTAAAACTTAAGGGCTATTCATTTTTGTAATTTTCCATTTTATATTTTCAAACCACAGTTGATCCCATGTAACTGATACCAAAGAAAAGGAAAGCTGTATCAGGAGGAATTACTGTAGAAATGTGTATACCTATTTCTGACACTTCATTTGTTCTTCATTCTGTACTGTGGATATTTCTGTTCCTTTGTTCCATATTTCTGTATTTAAACCAATATCACTTTATCTTGGCTACCTACTGAAGCCTAATAAAGACATCACAAAAAAAAATCAATATTTCACATTAAGTAGTATGAGTGTTCTAAGTTTGTTGTTGTTTTCAAAATTGTTTCCCATTTTCATCTAAATTTTAGAGGTGGCTTTTTATTTTATCCCATAAAAATCCTTGCTGAAATTTTAATTAAACTTCCCCCTACTTTATAAATTAAGTTTGGAGAGAATTGACATCTTTAACATATTTAGTCAGAATGCAGATCTCCATTTATTTGGTATTTAAAATAAGCATCTCAGTAATATTTTTGTAGTTTTCAAAATATAGGTCTTTCATATCTTTTGTCAAATTCATCACTTAGTATATTTTAAAATCTTTTTTCCCATTCCCTGTCCCTTCCCTTCATTCCCCTTTGTTTAATCCAAAATATTTCTATTCTTTCCTAACCACCCCCACCTTATTGTGAATTAGCATCTGCATATCAGAGAAAATATATGGCCTTTGGTATTTTGGGGAATGGCTTATTTCACTTAGCATAATATTCTCCAGTTCCATCCATTTACCAGTAAATATCATAATTTCATTCACTTTATGGCTGTGTAATATTCCATTGTGTATATGTACCRCATTTTCTTTATCCATTCATCTGTTGAAGGGCACCATGAGTTCCAAGCTGAACTGTATGCTTAGTATTTTTGATGCTCTTTAAATGGTTCTTTCAAATGTCAGTTTTTTATTACTACTAAGTACTAAGATCAATCTTGATCTTACATTGATCTTACATCCCGTGAGCTTGAGAAATCTTTTTATTCTAGTAGCTTTTTATAGTTCTGTAAGATTTTCTAAATTGACATGTCATTTGAAATCAGATTTCTACATGGATTATCTGAGATTTATTATCCTTTCCATTCTGAATGCTTTTCATAACTTTTTATTGTCATATTTTACTGTCATAGAACTACTTCAGTAAAATATTAAATGTAGTTGGTAAGAATGGACATCTTTGTCTTGTTTCTGGTCTTATCCGAAAGCATTTGCTTTTTCATCATTAAATTGAGTCCAATACTTAATCAACTGAACATAGGATAAATCCCACTTATCATAACATTAATCTTTTTATTTATTGCTGGATTTAATTTGTTGAAGTTTTACATATCTTTTTATATCTGTGTTTATGTGAAATATTGGTTTTTTTGTGATGTCTTTATTAAGCTTTGATATAAGAGTGATGATAACAACCTCATAGAATGAATTGAGAAGTATCCTCTCCTCTTCAAAAGAGCTTGTATATAATTGGTATTGTTTTTTCTTCAAGCATTGGAACCCATAGGTGAAGCCATCTGGGCTAGCATTTGCTTACAAACTAAATAAAAATTCTGAGATGAATAAAACTTTTAATCCAGGAACATTTTTAACTACAAATTCATTTTCTTTAGGGCTAGTTAGGTTTTGTTCTTTTCTGAATGAGCTTTGATAGTATGTCTTTCAAAGCATTGTTTCATTCTAATTTGTCAAATCTATTGATATAAAATTATTTGTAACATTTCATTTGCCCATTTTCTTTCTTTCTTTTTTTTTTAAATAGCTTTATCACTGAGCTATATCCCCAACCCTTTCTGTTTTGAGATAGGGTCTCACTGAGTTGTTGAGGGTCTTGCTAAGTTGGTAAAATTTTGGATCCTCCTATCTCAGCCTCCCAAGTCACCAGGATTATAGCATGTGCTACTGTGCCTAGCACCCATTTTATGTTTATAGATGTCACCTCTCCTCTGATGTTGATGATTTGTGTCTTCCTCCCCTCTCCATATAACTTGTTGAAGTTTTACATATCTTTTTATATCTATCTAACTGGCTAATTTTACTGACTTTCTCAAAGAACAAGCTTTTGATTTCATTTGATTTTCCTACCCCCTTATATTAATTGATTGAAATTCTTTATTATTATTTTCTCATCTTACTACGAGTGTCTCTTTGAGTTTATGGTTAAAGGTGAGGTCATTAATTTGAGAATTTTCTTTTTTTTCCTATTATAGACTTTAGTATAATCATCTGTATACTGCTTTTATTTCATCCCAAAAATTTTGATTGGTGTTTTCCAATCATAATAATATATGATTGAAGTTATGATTTCTTATTTTTTGTTGGTTGCTTCTTTGACTCGTGGATTATTTAGAAGTGTTGTATTTTTTTAGTGTCTGTGTATTTGCAAAGTTTTTTCCTATTATTAATTTCTTACTTATTGCTAGACCATATTTAAGGTAATATCAATATGATTGTATTGAAACTTACTTTTCTAATTTGTTTTCTATTCATTCTATTGTTTCTCTGACCTTGTTTTCCTCTTTTCCTGCTCTTTTTTATTTCATATTTTTAAATATAAACCCATTTTGTTATGGTTCTTGGCTCATTATTTCTCTTACATTTGTTTTCATAGTTGCTTTAGGGTTTACACTATACATCTTTAACTTAGCAATGATTTAAATTCAGAAAAAACTTGCAAAAAATCTTGAGATGAGGAAAATGGAACAAACAAAAGGATATTAGATAAAGTTCAGAGTTATTGTAACTCGCCTTACCCACACTGTCTTCCTGTCGTTCCTCAAGCACTCTTGAGCCTCATGGCCTTTTTACCTATTCTTTACTCTCTGAAATAACTGTTTCGCTAGGTAATAATTTCATTTATCTTTTGTGTTCTTCTTCTGGCTGTTTAGATGTTACCTGGTTGAAGAGATCTTTCCTTATTATGCTATTTAAAACAACTATTTCTTACTCCTCATGTGTTTATTCTTATTTTGATGTACTTTTTCCTCGTGACACTTCCCATTGGCTGGAGTTTTATATTGTTTGTCTGGTCTGAATCCCTCCACACTCTGCTTTCATTACCTTTGCCTCACTGCCTCCTCCAACAATTCCTGGTCACCAATATCTGATTAAGAAATATTGACTGAATGATTGAATAAATAGTGAATGATATTCCTTTGTGACTTTTTTATACATTCAGAAAAGAGACCTAATCAACCAGTTACTGAAAACATACCAGTAATTTATGGTTCAGTTTAGAATGAAAATATATTGCTTAAAACTCCTTATATTTTTATATTTAACAGTTGAATGCTACCAAAAAAATTTTGCACCTGCTACATACATACCCTTTGAAACTCTTTCTATTAGGTCTTTTTACTGTTGGCTTCTGAATTAAGGTATCCTAGACCAATATATAAATTTCACTATTGTTCAGAAACACAGTATTTGTAGAATTAAAAACTAAGCAATTAATTTGAATTATTTTGTTCTAGTTCCAAAAATTAAGACATGATCTTGAAATGGTACTATCTACTATTCAGTCAAAGAATGAAAAGTTAAAGGAAGACTTAGAAAGGTACGTTTATATTATAATTACTATTAATCATTGATATGTATTGAATTGGCACTTAAAATCCATAATTTGGGGGATAGTAGAGGACAGGAAAGGCAGCAGAATACAACAGACACTAGTATGGCAATATGTAAAACAGTGGATGTGTAACCGATGTGATTCTGCAATCTGTATACRGGGTAAAATGGGAGTTCATAACCCACTTGAATCAAATGTGTGAAATATGATATGTCAAGAACAACCAACAATAAAAATTTTAAAAAAATAATAATTAGCAAAAAAAAATCCATAATCTGTGTTTTCATGTTTGAAGGGAGCAACAATGGTTGGATGAACAGCAACAAATAATGGAATCTCTTAATGCACTTTACAGTGAATTGAAAAATCAGTTTGTGACATTTTCTGAAACAAGGTAAATTTGTGGTTCTAAGTTTTTTAAATAGGAGAAAGTATTTTCTTTTTTATGTTACCTAAACTATAGATGAAAAGAAGACAAATCTCACCCGGAATTGTGGGTCTTACCTTAACTTTTTCCGATTATTATTTACATGATTTTTTATGAATGACTTGACTGGGTTGTACTATTAGTTTCCCTACATGTTATAAAGAAAATATATCTTTCATAAAACTAGTTATGTTGTTGGAGCAATGAAGTTTCAGCATTTTTGAAGTTTTAGACAGATACAATACTTTTATTTATTTATTTTTATGTGGTGCTGAGTGCTGAGTGCTTCACATGTTTAAGGCAATCACTCCACCACTGAGTTACAACCCTAGTTCTCAGCAAAGTTTTTTATTAACTTTATGAAGAACCAGGTACACGTATATACATTTTATCAGTTAAATGTTTCTCTTAATTTTCTTTTTATCTATTAGAATCTTTAGTGAGCTGAAAACTAAAATGCTTAATATAAAAGCATTCAAGGAGAAACTCTTGAGTACCTTGGGTGAGTTTCTAGAAGACCATTTTCCTCTGCCTGATGGGAATGTTAAAAAGAAAAAGGTAAGTTTTAGAGAAGATATGCATGTAGATTTTAAATTGTTTTAGGTAGGTCCAGAGGCAAGTTTTCTTATATAGTATGAAGATATACACACGGATAAATGTACTGAAATATGCCATCATCACATATTTACTGAAAAATTAGAAGCTACCTACTTGTTCAGTAAAATGGGACTGATTAAGCTGGTGTATGGTGGTGTGTGCCTGTAATCCCAGGAACTCCGAAGGCTGAGATAGGAGGACCGAGAGTTCAAAGTCAGCCTTAGCGATATCAAGGCACTAAGCAACTCAACGAGACCCTGTCTCTACATAAAATACAAAATAGGTATGAGAATGTGGCTCAGTGGTCAAATGCCCCTGAGTTCAATCCTTGGTACCTCCCTGGGGGGGAAAAAATGGGATTGATTAAATTTTTTATATTGTATCCATATGATATGAAAAGATCAGCTTTTAAAAATGATTTGTTGAACACCATTAGAGTTAATGAAATGCTCATATTTTTAAATGAATAAAACAGATGACTAGATTTTATGACTTGAATCTAATTTATACCATAAATGTAAGGTCTGGTAGGTGAGTTTTGTTTTTGTTGTTGATGATGATGTTTGCTTTTTACTATTTTCCAAATGTTCTGACATGAATGTATATCTCTTTTTAAATCAGAAGAATGTTTGAAAATTGTTAGTTTCATCTAGGTTAATAACTATTTGAATAGAATTTATGATAAAATAAACTTTCCAAAAACACAAGTAAATCATTGAGTGACAGAAGATTGTGAATGACTACTTTAATTTCTTTTCTTTAATACATTATATAGCATAAATAAACAAAACTTTGAAATTGGAATTGGTATTAAAACTGGTACCACAATAGTTTCTCTAAAATGTAAATATAGTTTAATCATTTTTTATTATAAAACTTTTGGCTCCCTATAGGATAAAGTCTTTAAATTACTTAGAATAATGGATTTATACTTTGGAGTGTATCTATCTGTTCAGCCTCATCGTGAATTGTTCTTTTTTTTTAGTTGTCAGTGGGCCTTTATTTTATTTATTTATATATGGTGCCAAGAGTTGAACCCAGTGCCCCACTCATACTAGGCAAGCACTCTACCGATGAGCCATAACCCCAGCCCCCATGAATCATTCTTTATTTATCTCTTATGTGAATCCATTCAACCTTACTACTTACTATAGCCAAACAAGTATACAGTGACCTCTCACTTTTTTGGGCCTTATATTGCTATATTTGCTTTGCTTAGAAAACCTGTATATCTCTGTCTACATATCTTCTGAGTTAATTTCTTTTTCTTTTTCTTTTTTTGATGCTGGGGATTAAACCCAAACCTGTCATATGCTAAGCATGCACTCTACCACTGAGCTACATCCCAGGATGAGATCACATTTATTAAATGAAGGGCTGGAGACGTAGTTCAGTGGTATTGTGCTTTCCTAGCAGTTGTACTAAAAAAAAAAAAAAAAAAAAAGGCAGAATTATATTTATTGAATGAATTTGAGAATATTAGGAAAAAAAGAAAAAGTTCTTATAATTGCAATCTGTGTTCATTTTATTTTTCCCATTCTTCTTTGAAATCATCTCTAGGCATTATATTTGTTATGGACTATGTCTTCCATTCCATCCATTATTATTTATATTTATTTATTTTGGAAATTATTGAAAGCCTTCTATTGACCATTCTGTGAAGTCATGATTCTTTTGATCTTAATCTTGTAACAGTTCACTGATTTTTTTAATTTCAGTCTCCCCATTTTTTTCAACTTTAGTTTTTAAGAATTATTAAACTATTAAACTTCTTCAATAATAAAACCAGATGTGTGAGGCATCCTGAAATGCAAAAAAATTGATTACTAGAAGCCATTAAGGGTTTTTAATGACATAAGAACTATTTTTACATGTTGTAAAATGATAGATTACTATCCGTCTACCATCTGTGCCTCTGTTCCCCCCGCCCCCTCTCTTTCTATGTCTCTCTTTCTGGTCTGCAGTAATACTGTATATATTATTACTGCCATAATAAAATATCACAGATTTCTTGGCTTAAGCAACAAATTAATTTTTGCAGCTTAGAGGTAGAAGCCCAAGATCAGAGCTCTGTCAGGGTCGGTTCCTGGTAAGGTCTTTCTTCCTGACCTGTAGATTATACCTTCTCATTGTGTTCTCACATTCGTTTCTTCTCTGTATACAAGGAGAAAAGAGAATTCTTAGTGTTTCTTCCTCTTATAAAGGAAGGAGCCATGAACTGGGATGTGACTCAGCAGTAAGGGGCTTGCCTAGCATAGGCAAGGCTCTGGTTTTGATCCCCAGTACCACAAAACAATCAAAAAACTCAGTCATTTCAGAGTAAAGTCCCATCCTATGAACTCATTTTCATATTAATTACCTCTTTAAGACTCTGTTCGCAAATATAGTTGCATTAGGGATTTGACACATGCATTTCTAGAGACATACTCATTCTACAACATTGGACTTGATAATTCAGAAATGGATATGAAAAAGAAAGCTAAAAACATTCTCTATCAGTTCAGTTCTTTAACATGAGGTGAACACCATCATTAGCATTAGGTAAATATAATTTGAGACATCTTTCTAAACATACGCTTATAAAAATATAAATTGATGGATGATTGAATCAGTGGAATTTTGTACTTGCTAATATGAAATAAATGCTAAATGTAATTTTATGTAGATTTGATAGAAGATAGTGAAAAATAGTTAAGTGTTGAATTGTTGAACTCAAAATTTTTTTGCCTCAAATAGTTTGAGTTCTGGAAAGATCTTTCTAATACAAGGAAAATAAATCATGAAAAACAACATAATGAAGAGTTTTTTTAAGGGCTGGAGTTGTGGCTCAGTGGTAGAGCACTTTCCTTGCATGCGTGAAGCACTCGGTTCGATCCTCAGCACAACATAAAAATAAATAAATAAAATAAAGATATTGTGTCCATGTACAACTACAAAAAAAATTGAACAAAAAAGAGTTTATTTAACTCCATTTCTCAATTTTAGGTAGAATTAAAGATGAGGAAATTAGGGCTGGGGTTGTGGCTCAGTAGTAGAGCACTTGCCTAGCAAATGTGAGACACGGGTTTCGATTCTCTGTACCACATATAAATAAATAAATGAAATAAAGGTCTCTCAACAACTAAAAAATTTTTTTWAAAAAATTATTCTTTTTAAAAAAAGGAAGAAAATTAACATTCTTTCTCTATTCCAATTTTGTATTGTTTTTACTTTGATGGGTTTATAGTATTTATGTTGTGCTAAGAAATCATCATTTATGTCTATGGTTAGCTTTCATTCTATTTTGTATTGGATTCAGTACTTATCTACTACCACTGATTTTTTTAATTCTTACTTTTGATCCATTGCTTTATTTCATGGTTTGTTAATGGTTGGTTTATTTGTTTTCTTCCCAAATAATTTGTTTAAGAAGAATTTCTGAATGTTTTATTCTTTGTCTTCTTAAAATTATTTTGTTGTCTTTACACTCAATGTTTCAGCACATTTTTTAATTGAAACTCAAGATTTGGCATCCTCTGTATCTTCTAAGATGAATGGACTATGTAGAAATCTGATGATTTGCTGCTTCTGACTATAAAGCTGACTAATTCTTTAAGCTTCAGTAACTTAAAAGCATATGTCACAGTGCTGATCATTCAATATCAGTTTTTATTTGAAGATGATATGTTCTTTCTTTAGACAGATTTAGCACATATTTCATGAAAAATTTCTAAATATCTATTGTTTATCCCCTTATGTTGAAACATTCACTTTTGTTGTTCTGCTTCTTTTTAAGAATTTTTTTGGCTTCCTTCTTATTTATTAATCAATTCTGTAATTGTGTTGCCTTCACCACTACTTACTCATATACTGATTTTTACTACTCTTTTTCATTTTTTTTTTGACACATGCATTTCTAGAGACATACTCATTCTACAACATTGGACTTGATAATTCAAAAATGGATATGAAAAAGAAAGCTAAAAACATCTTAGCAAGATATAAGGAGATTTTTAAATGCAAATTTACTCTGCTGTCTTTACTAGAAATCTTATTTATTTTTGTTAGTATTATTTTATGATTTCTTTAACATATTTATATTTTCACAAGGCCTTATAAACATTCCATGATAATCTTTGGTATCTTTTATTTATTTATTTTTTTGTACTGGGTGTTGAACCCAGGCCACTTACTGAGCCATATCCCAGTCCTTTTGATGTTTTAATTTGAGACAGGATCTCACTAAATTGCTTAGTGCCTGGATTACCAGTGTGTATCACCATTCCCTGCAATCTCTGGTATCTGTAAAGTATTGGCAGTATAGTTGGTGACTTGTAATTAATAGAATGTCTGAACTCAGTTCTTCTGATTGGGTTTATTGGAAGATTTCTAGCAGTTTCCTTTAGATATTTGTCCTATTGAACATTTTAAACAATTTGGATGAAGAAGTAGAATACATGGCTATCAAGGTATGTAAATGGTATGAAACAAGAGGATTAGATGGTAAATATATTGGATGGCAAAATTGGACTTTGGGTGTCCAGGACCTTGGGCAAAGTTTAATAAGATGTTTAGGAGAAATATACAACATATTGTTCTTGGGTTTAAATCACTAAATAATGAGTACTGGGGATGTAACTCAGTGGCACYGTGCTTGCCTAGCATGCACAAGGCTCTGGATTCATTTCCCAGTACTGTTTCAAAACAAAACACCATCAAAGAATGAGGGAGACATATCTTTGCTTAATGTGTGAAAGCACTTTGGCATTTTTAATGATAGTATGTTCAGAAGTTAGCAAGGTGAAATAAATGTCTGAAAGCTAACCTACAATAAAAGTTTGTTTCAGAATTCTTCTTAAGTCATCCAATCATGAGTTTGATTTCAGTTACCATGTACCATTGTAACTAAGAAACAATAATTTTTAAAAACCTCATATTATAATTTAGCATTCTGCCATTAGCAAAATTAAGATGTTAATTGTTTGTTATTCACATTTCTCTCAAAGAAAAACATTCAAGAATCAACCAAACAGCTGATAACACTGCATGAAATATTAGAGGTAAGCATATTGTATAGTTTTTTTTTTTTTTTGGTTTTAATGCTATCTTTTAATATACTCAGGCTTCAAAAAGAGAAAATATTACTTTAATTCTTTAGGTATATGTCAATCTGTTTTTAAATTTTTTTAGTTATACATGGACACAATATCTTTATTTTGTTTATTTTTTTATGTGGTGCTGAGGATTGAACCCAGTGCCTCACATGTGTGAGACAAGGGCTCCACCACTGAGCTACAACCCCAGCCCCTATATCAATCTTTATTAAATATATTCATAATAATTTATCTTTGCTAAAAAATTAGTTTCTCCCATATAGTATTAAGGAAAATATTATCATTTTTTAAGAATGTGAAATTTAAGTCTAACTTTAATCACATTCCTAAGTTTTATCACAGTTAAAAACTTTAAAAATTATATCATGTTATTTGGCATATACATTGCAAAATCCTGTGCTGCTATAATGTTAGAATTTAAATTGACACCTGTATACTCTAAAATATGTGAAGTGAGCTTAAAGATTCTTTCCACAGAGTCATAAAAAGTTTTGTACAATTTTCCTTAAATAGCATCAATCTCTTGTCATAATGTAAAGACTGAGTAATTTCAACCTTTTCCATATGACATTTATTTTGTTTTATAAATACCTTTGATCTTTTTTTTAAAAAAGGTTTCTGTTGGGGCTGGGGATGTGCTCAAGCAGTAACGAGCTCACCTGGCATGCGCGAGGCGCTGGGATTGATCCTCAGCACCACATAAAAATAAAAATAAAAAGATGTTGTGTCCACCGAAAACTAGAAAATAAATATTAAAAACTTCTTTCTCTCTCTCTCTCTGTTAAAAAAAAATGTTTCTGAACTTAGCCAAATTCTTAAATATATTAAGTTTCTTAGAGAAATCTAGATTTGACAATGCACAGCAACTGAGCAGAGAGGAAAATAAAATAGTTATGAATAGTGTATTTACCAATTGGTAAAGGGTGCCTTTTTTTTTTACATTAGTATGTTTTTTGAAGAATGTTTTCAGAAAACATGTTTCATTGTGATTTAATGAATTGGGTGCTAAAGTCCCTGTTTTTATCTAAATAAATAGTTGCCTCAATAGATCTTTCTTTTTTTAGATCTTTCTTAATAAACAATATCATTGCTTTGAAAACCAAAATGCAAATATTTATTGGATTTATAATTGTAGTCTTTTAACTTATTTCTAGCTATTCCAGCTCATACCAAAACTATTACATATTGTTAGCATGGTTGTTTTAAAATTTTTAAATAAAAATTGTGACTTCATGCCGCAAATATTGACAAGTAATAACTGTGAAGTACAAGTGTAAAATTCTCAAACTGTACTGTGTGAGATACAGTGTAAAACTTAGAAAACTAAGTATGTTCCTGAGATTTATATTATTAATGATAACAGTAACCAATATTTAAAACTGTCATTCAGTGCAAAACAAAATTTAATGTACATATTTATTTCAAATTTGAATTTTTAACAGCCATTTCTAGTGTCTACTAAAATTTTAGTTAATACAATTTAAATTAAAAATGAAAAATAAGAAAACTTTAGTTTTGTAGTGATGGGGATCAAACCCAGGGCCTGACATATGCTAGCAAGCACACTACCAATGAGTCACACAACTCAGAAAGCTTTCAAAGTGCTTTAATGGGAATATGTGTAATTCCTTATAAAGATTCCTAAAAGAAATGAGGCCACAAGCTTTTTTCCCTAGGATATGACTTGAAATAGACAAATTAATGCTAGTTGAAATTTTTATTTCAAGAATCAGGATATTGCTATTACAAAATATGAAATTAGAGTTTGGCATGTTAATTTTATTCATTCTTCGAGCACGTTATTTGTTAAAATTATGCTTTTTCTTTTCCATGTTCCTTAAGGTAATATCATCTTTCCCTTGAAGCTTTGGTGTGGCAATTCAGAGATTAAGCCTAATTCATGATCTGCCACTGATTGTGTGCCCCCATGGAATCCTGTAATCTTTCTGAGTTCTGATTTCATAATTTGTGAAGGCACCAGGAGGTAGATGAGGAGGCAAAATTACAATTAATTACCAGTTTGAAATTTTCACTGTTTTTTTTTTGTTAATTGGTTTGTTACCGCTGATCTACGTCCCCAGTCCTTTTTATTTTTTATTTTGAGATAAGGTCTGTCTAAATTGCTGAAGCTGGCCTTGAAATTTGAAAGCCTCAGGCATTTAGCCTGGTGTGTCACTGGGATTACAGTCCTGCACCATCACAAGCCCAATTATTTTTGACCATGCTTTATAAAACATTAGTATTTAAAGTATTATAAATTTTTGCTTCCTGAAAAAACTTTCCAAATGAGAAATTATATCCCATCTATATATATCAAAGTGCATAAATGCATTCTACTGTCATGTATAACTAATTAAAAATTAAAAATTAATTTAAAAGTTTTAGACTACATAATTAATACAAAAACTTAAACCTTCTCAATTTTGGTTGTAATCGCTTAGCATCCTTGATAAAGAAATCAAAGACAAAGGAAAGGATGATAAAAATCACTGAAGATTTATCAGAAGTGTAGATGTTTGGAGGGTGTGGAAACTGGCAATTTCTTTTACCCACTCACAAATACTAACACTCTTTCAAACTTTCTGTATATTTTGTGTGTGGGGTATGTGTGTCTGCGTGCACATGCACTTTGCTTATTAGGATCAAGCCCAGGGCTGTGCACATGCTAGTATAGTAGTCTAGTGCTTTACCACTGAGTAAGAATTTGAATTTTTAAGATTCTTCTCTTTATTCTAAATAAATTATTAATCCTAAAAGAGGGAGAATTGTACCAGCTTTCTAAAGCATTTTTGGGGAATGTTTTAAAAAATTAACATAGAAAGATTTACTTTAAAAACTTTTTTCATTCACTGAAATTTATAGTCATTTAAAAAATCAAATCATTTATTTAAGCTAGTACATAAAAGTTATGCTATAAACAGTTGTTCAGGGAGAAAAGAGGTCAGCATCCCTTGGTGGAAAACTTTGTTTTATTATAGCTGTGTAGATTTTTTCCCCAGTAAAGTATATTTTGGATGATTTTTTTTCTAGATTCTTATAAATAGATTATTTGATGTTCCACATGATCCATATGTCAAAATCAGTGATTCCTTTTGGCCACCTTATATTGAGCTGCTGCTGCGTAATGGAATTGCTTTGAGACATCCAGAAGATCCAACCAGATTGAGATTAGAAGCCTTCCATCAATAAGAGGATGTTCTTTTTCCATWACAGGAAAGAATCTTGTCATCTAAGGATAATGGAAACCGGACTGTTTGAATAAAAGAATATTATTTGCAAATAAAAGTAATAATCCATCTTTCTTTTATCCTTAAGTGACATGTATTGCCATTTCTTCATTTTAAAAATGGCCGTTTCTTATTTATTCAGTGCTATGGTGTTTTATTTTTTTTTTATTTATTTTTTATTATTAATTGGTCAAAACATTACAAAGTTCTTGACATATCATATTTCATACATTAGATTCAAGCGGGTTATGAACTCCCATTTTGACCCCAATCACAGATTGCAGAATCACATCGGTTACACATCCACATTTTTACATGATGCCATATTAGTGACTGTTGTATTCTGCTACGTTTCCTATCCTCTGTTATCTCCCCTCCCCTCTCCTCCCATCTTCTCTCTCTACCCCATCTACCACAGTTCATTTCTCTCCTTGTTTTTTTCCCCATTCCCCTCACAACCTCTTAGATGTAATTTTGTGTCTCCTTCCATTTCCATGCAATTCCCCTTTTCTCTCCCTTTCCCTCCCACCTCATGTCTCTGTTTAATGTTAGTCTTTTCCTCCTGCTCTTCCTCCCTGCTCTGTTCTTAGTTGCTCTCATT